TTACAAATGACCACTCCATCTCTATTTATAGAGAGATGTAACTTTCAAATAATAATGGGAATATAATAACCTAACTGTCACTCATAATTTGTAGAGCATTTCTATGCTCCAATACTGTAAATCTATCTCTATAAATCCTAATGCCCAATATGTAAGTTGTTTCTTATAGATCCTTCATAGAGAAACATTTTCCAAGCCAAGTTTTGACACTCTGCAAGGTTGGAATATCTTTTATTATAAGGAGTATGTAATCAACTTACAATACTAGGAAGACCATATTATTCCCACTAGCTTTGACATGTATGCTAGACTCATCCTCACATTTAAAAAATCCGAACTCTTTAACCTTTTCATGAAAGAAAAGATTCCAACTATGGGACACTTCTTTTAGTCCATAAATGGACCATTTAAGCTTGGATAATCTATTAGGATATTTTGGAACAATGAATCCCTTATGTTGTGCCAAGTACACATCCTCTACCGATTTCCCAATAAGGAAAGTAGTCTTCACATCCATTTTCCATATCTCATAATGTTAGGCTTCATAATTTCATGTATTGCGTTTGAGTGTAATGTGAAATTGTTTGTTATTATTAGACTTATGTCTTCAAAGTAGATTGCAAAATTACTGGCTTTTTTGTGGTTTGTATAGATACCTAGGTTTCGTAGTGCGATCTTAAATATTGTATAGTTGTAATTGTCTAGGTGTCATGTTTTTAGTGATTTTATCTCTAACTGAATCCCTGGATGTGTACCTATATAAAGTGATGTTAGTTAGATAGAGAGGATACCATTTACCAAGTTGTTATTGTAATATGTAATTGAGCTTCGTATTCTCTAATCAAAAACTAGATCTTATTTACCTTGTATTTAATCATTTCATTGTTCTTAACATGATTTCTATATTTTAGAATCTATTAGTCCTATAAGTAGTATCAGATCGAGGATTTAGTTGAGTAAATTTCAAATCATTGAATAATTTTTTGTGTTCATCGAGTTTCTCGTCTATCATTTTGATTTTATAGATCTATTCCGCATTTGCAATTAATTTCCAACTTGATCTAGAATATATTGTTTTGAAATTTGTATCATTTTGAATATTTGTTATAACTCATCGATTTGATTCTTTGTTCAGCTTGTTTCTAAATTCATGTCTAACGAAAATTCACACATTGTTTCATTCAATCTATCAAGTAGTATCATATCAAAACTAGAATTTCGATTTTGTTTCCTGATGACTATGAGGTTTGGGTATTGCAGTTTGAGCACTACATCACAAGAATTGAAATTTAAAGAAGCAATCACTAATGTTTAAGTATCAGTTCAGGATGAGAGTGGATCCTCTCAAAATATATGTGATCTAGTTGAGATGGAGAGTATTATAAATAAAGAACAAATTGTTGCAAAAAAATGTTTCCTCCAAAACACCAAATAATGAAGCACAAATTCAGGGGGAGAGTCCAATAAAGGATGAGGCTAATATTAAGGGGGAGAGTCCAATAAATGATTGTGTTAACGTTTATGGGGAGAGTCCCATGCATGAAGATATTGGTGATTATTCTAAAGATGAATGAAAGACAGGCAGTGTTGCTATAACATCTCGATTTTCAATCCAAAATTTTCATTTTTAGTTGTTCAATATATCAGAGTATAAATATATTATGCAAAAACATGTTGAAAATGTGTGTGTGTGTGTAGTCGAGCCTTACCCTTCTCAAGAATCAATAAAGCACCTGAAAAACATTTGTATTCAATTGGGTAAGCACGGAGCTTAGTAAGTTTCCCAAAATACAATATACCACAATACATAACCATGCATACAAACAATGTCTCACGACCTTTCACCGATCCACCAATTGGCTTGCAACCTTTTGCCGATCCACCAATAATATGTGTATCTAAACTTATGTCCTACTCTCCATTTCTTCGTCAACACTCGCGTGTATAGGCTCTTGACCTATCGTAGTTCTATCGTCAACCCTTACTATAACCGTAAGGAATACAATAATATTTGCGTACATAGATACTACACATTCAGCTATATTCATACAGGTACCTTAGAGACTATACTCTTTACTATACTAACATTAGGCATATAGAAACTATCATACTAGCTCTTATATCCTAAAATACATGAATATATATTGTAATACATAGTATAATGAGATAATTCACCTGGATAATTTCTCAAATGATTAATAGCTGTCTAGGTAATCCTAAAGGCGATCCAAATGGCGGCTAACACGCCTAACAAGTATTAACCTATCAAATAAGGATTAGTTAAGTGGGACAGTTATGAGGAAAGACCATTTCGAAATATAACCTTTCTGAAATCCAACAACCAAACCAACGTGACCATTCTAGACAACTCTCTTACAAGTAGACCAATCAATATTATGACTAGAATCACTAATAAATCTTATTTATACATTCGTAATTACGACTATGAATATAAATATAAGCTACACATTCAGTGTAGTAAGTGCAACTTAACTTACATTATTTTTTAGTTAAAACTTGGATTTGTGTAGAAAGGACTTTGATACCAAGCACTTTTATTTTCTTATCCCTCTGCCTCAGAGCTTCCCTAAAGTTGAGTTCTTCATAATCCCGAAAAGCCTAAAAAATCAGGCAAGAGATGGAATTGAGAAAGTAGATTGGTTGTGAGGAATAAAGGGAGTTGAGATTCTATTTATTGAAGAAATTGGGGAGGCACGCCGCACACACCTATGAGGCGCGCCATGCCCTAGGGTGATGTTGAACCATACGCCTACTAGCATGGGGCACTTTTCTAGAAATTTTATAAAATCATATATTTCTCATATGAGCTTTATTTCGACATTTTTGTATCCACATGTAGCTATTGACAAGTACTATGAATTTCATTTAGACTATGTCGACTAGTTTTCAATTTCTTTTTAATTTATTATTTTTAGAATACCTAAACTGCTAAACTCCATTTAAAAATTATATTTCATTCATACAACATTGGTTGTCAATTGTTTCTATATTGATATTGATAGATAGGCATCAATCAAGAATTTTTCATGTTTAGTTCTTTCATTGCAAAAACTGAATCGAAAATATGAAGATGGAACATGATCATTCTGATTGGGTGGATGCACTGAGAGTAGAGCTAAATGAATTTGAAAGGAACAAAGTTTGATGTTTAATTCCAACGCCTCTAGATGCATCGATTGTAGTTCTCAAATGGGTATTTCACAACAAGCTTCACAAAGAAGGAAATATAGTGTGAAAAAAGGCAAGACTAGTTGTGAAAGGATATACTATGAAGAGGTTATTGATTACGGAGAGATGTTTGCACCAGCTACGAGACTTAAAGTTGTTCGTATTTTCTTAGCTTATACTATACACAAAAATTTTAAAATTTTTCAAATGGATGTTAAATATGATTTTATAAATGGAAAAGTAGAAGAAACAGTGTATGTGTAATAACCTCCAGTTTTCATAAACGAATAGTGTCCAAACTATTTTTACATTCTAGATAAAGTTGTTTATAGTCTTAAACAAGCTTCACAGGCATGGTATGAAACTCTGCTCGTTTTCTTAAACAGTCCCAATTTAAACAAGGTTCAGTTGACCCTACCTTCTTTCATAAAAATGTTGGTGATCACTTGATGGTTGTTCAAATTTATGTAGATGACATTATTTTCGGTTCAGCAGATCCTAACTCTTTTGCTGAATTTCGAAATTTAATGAAAACTAAGTTTGAGATGTGCTCAATGGGTCCAATTGATTTCTTCCTTGGTTTGAGTATTAGACATAGAAAAGAGGGAAAGTTTATCAAACAGGAGGCTTTTATGAAGACAATACTTAAAAAGTTTGGAATGAATGGTAATACAAAGGTGAAGACATAGATGACATTTCGAATGAAGCTAGCACCTTCACTTGAAAAACCAATATCTGACATCATGCTTTATCATAGTATGATTAGGTAATTACTATATCTAAAATCTAGTCTACTTAATATCATTTTCTCTCTTTGTTACTATGCTAGTTATCAATAAAATCCAAGGGAACTTCAGATGATGACTGTAAAGAATATCTTCTAATAGCTTCGCAAAACTACTTCTTTAGGGTTGTGGTATCTGACTAATACGGGTTCCCTTATGCTGGCTTATTCAGATGCTAATTTAGGAGGATGTGGCATGTATTGCAAAAGTACTTCTGGAAGGTGTTAATTATTATACGAGAAGCTAGTCGGCTGGCAATCAAAGAAACAACCATGTGTTTCACTTTCATTTGTCTAAGCTCAATATATAGTTGTTGTTGCTTCCACATTGCAAATAATTTGAATATAAAGTCTATTGCAAGATTATGCCATAAATATGAAGAAATTTTGGTTATATTAAGACTTAGATAGTGCTATAAGAATATGTCACAATCCAGTGCAACACATAAAGACAAAGCATATTGCATTGCACTATCACTTTATAAAAAACCATGTGGAAGATGAAAATGTAGAAATAGATTTTGTCAAATCATCATATCAGTTACTGATATTCTCACGAAAGCATTTCTAGAATCATCAGTTATGAGAATACTACAAGGGCTTGGAATGATGGAAGCTGAATCAGTTCACGTATCAATTTGAAAAACATTATTCTTCGATTACAAAGGGTTGTGAAGCATCGCAACAAGTAAAATTCCTTGAACTTATTCTACGCTTAAGTTTCATTGTATCTAGTTATTGTTCATCAAAGACGACCTACGATCCATCTGAACGTGTTGTAGTCAGTTTCTTTTCTTTCGTTCTTTATGTTTACTGTTCATTTGCGATGGATTGCGAGTCGTCATAGTCCATCGTAGTTTTACATTTTGGTTTATTAAAAACTTGAAAAATCTAAAAATATTTTTTTCTTTCTTAAAAAAATTTGAAAATCCAAAAAGATTTTGTTTTCGTAAAATTTTTGAAAAAACCCCATAAAAATTCATTTCTTTCAATTTTTGATTCAGATTAGGAAACAACCAACAATTCGATGATACGGAAATATTACAAGGCTCTAAACCAAAAGCTAAATGTGCTTGTATGTCATGATGAGGCTTTCTCAACTTCAAACTTTCAACATATGATGATTGTTCATGAAGCCACAGTCAAAATTTTGCTCTTAGAGAGTAAGAGGCTATCTGAGGAACATGAGAAGTTGGTGAATGCAACAGCTGTGAAGATAGATGCAACTCCAAATGAATTCAAGGAATATAAAACTTTTACCTTATATGACAACATTGTTCATAGTTCGAAATTCACATTCCCCATTAATACTATTGTGAATCATTATGATGGTGAAGCAAAGATGGTTGATGAGCTTGCAAGAAAAGATGTGAAGATAACATCTATCAAGCATGAATGGACATTTGCAAAGACTGAGTTGGTTAAGAGGGATGATGAAATATTATTAGTGAAGGGACAAAATTTTGAAATAAATCAAAGGTTAGTCAAAAATTTAGAAGAGAAGGATGCACCGCATGTTGACTACATGTCTGCTCTATTATATGCGAAACCTCAACCTTTTGCAAAACTTCTTTTAGTTGAAGATGTTATAAATAGTGTTTCTAATTTGCAACAAGGGGGTTATAGTGGTAACATCAACATTGTGAACCTTATATGGTTCCTAACATGCAAAAGAATACTCAGGTTCCAAAGAAGATTCCTATTTGTAATCAACCATTAGGAAATCAACTAGAAAGTCTTACTATTGTTTTTCTAACAAAAGCTTTTGGATCTAATGTTGTGAAGATTGTTAATCCACCTGAAGTTTATCATAATGATGATGAACCTAAAAAGGAAGAATGATGAGCATATGGAGAGGTTGAAACAATTACAAATAAAAATAGATCAACAAGAGGCAGAGAAAAGGGAAAGGAAGTTGTTGACTGAGGATGAAAGTATTATGGCTAGAATGGAATATTGGTATGATGATGAGTGAAGCTTTCAAGAACGTTGAAAAATATTGGCTCAATCCTACTAGGTCATTTTCTTTGGAAAATAAAAGTGATTGTCAATTAGATTTTCCTATGACCGCGAAGGCATTTTTGTTCAAGTGCTTTTCAAAAATTTCTAGTGTTCCCTTGAAAAATAATACTATGGACAATAAGCTTCTTAGGTTCTATGCTTCACAGTCTAAGCCCAAATATGTAGTTTGGTGGTTGAAGATGATTCTAGTTATTCAAGGATGTGAAGCAGATGAACTGAAAGATAAATTTGTGAATTATAAATTTTGAGCATTGCGAGGAAACATCAATGAAGAAGTTTTATTCTATTTTTCTGATTTACCATTGAAGAATGCACATGACTAGTTTGTGTTGTTCAATATCTTATTAGAAAACAAGACAAAGTATGTAAATAAGATCTTACATTTAAAGAAGATGATAAGATTCTATTGTTTGGGACTTTGTAAAATGGATATTAAGATGCCTGATTTCTTAAATAAAAAGACTATTGATGGTCCTTATGAACAACCAAAAGGTATTGGAAGCATGATAGATGATTAAATCCAAAAGGATCCTTGGCGAGTGATTTACAAGTCAGCGATCAATAGTGTGTCAAAAATCGGATCATGTACATACAAGAAAAAAATTGCTACAAATTTGGAACATTGCATGGTATTCTTGCAAAAGTTAAACGTTGCAAGATAAATTAAAAAGTAGAAATCAAATATGTGTTCAACATTCTTAGATGGTGGATGACAATTCGGACTAAAGTTCTTAATGTTTCTCCTTGTATTTTTAATAAGGTCAAGTGAAGACTTTTTGCAACTTGAAGCAAAGGGGGAGATTGTTAGGCTTCGTAATTTTATTGTATTCTGTCCGTGTTTAATGCGAAATTGTTTATTATTATTATACTTAATCCTATAGTATAAATTGTGAACATATTGTTGGTTTTATAGTTTTTATGGATACTTACAATTCGCAGGGTGAACTGAAATGTTGTATAGTTGTTATTGTCTTGGTTTCATGTTTTTACTGGTTGTATCTCTAGATGAGTCCTTAGGTGTGTACCTATATAAAGGGATGTTAATTAGATAGAGATAATACCTTATGACATGTTCTTACTGAAATCTATAATTGAGCGTCATATTCTCTAATCAAAAACAGATCTTATTTACCTTCGTGCGTTCAATCATTTCATTTTTCTTAACATGATTTCTATCTTTTAGAATCTATCGGTCCTACACGTAATCACAGAAAAAAAAAAATTGTAATAAATATTCTAACAGGATTAATCTTGGCTACTGGTGAGAAGCTTTCATTATAAACAATTCCTGAGTTTGAGTATAACCCTTTACAAGTAGCCTAGCTTTATACATGTGTACATTCCCATCCATGCCATTCTTCTTCTTGAAGATCCACTTGCATCCAACAATTTTGTGCAAGGAGTAGGATCAACCAAATGTTAGACTTGGTTATCATACATTGATTGAAATTTCACTTTCCATGCTCTCCTTCCATTTAGCAGGTCTAGTTCCTGCCATCGCTTCCGTATAGATAGACGGCTCATCCATACTTACTAGTGTGTGGTTCCTGATTACTATGTTTCCTTCAAATTCAATATGTAAACCATAAAATTCAGTATGGAATCGAACCCTATCAGATCAAAAAATTGGACGATTGGAACTATGTCGTTTTGCTCAATAGGTTGATCAAATTCTATTTAAGTTCTTTTTTCAACTGCTAGTTCTTTTTTGTTTGACGCTTGAATTTCTTTAAGATCAATTGGTATCCCACCAGATTCTTTAGACATGATCTCCCCCTCGTGGAAGAATCCCCTTCGAGCAACAAACACTTTGTTCTCAGAAGCATTATAGAAAAATATCCAAAAGACTTTTAAGGATACTCAACAAAGTAATAATTTTCTGATCTTGGTTCTAGTTTATCGCTTGCCTTATGACGCACATAAACTTCAGAACCCCATATTTTTAAGTGTGAAAGACAGTGAGGTTTCTTATTCCACATATTCTATGGTGTTGTAGTGACCTCTTTAGTTAGTAGGAGGTTTAATACATTAGTGGTTGTCTCAATAGCATAACCCCATAAAGTTATTAGAAGCATAGCTCGATTCACTGTGGATTGAACCACATCAAGTAGCATTCGATTTTTTCTCTCATCAACAACATTCAATTTTGGTGTCTGAGGTGGAGAAAATTATGAAACAATTCCATAATCCTTTAGATGATTGATGAATTCACGACTCTGGTATTATCCATCCCTATCGGATTGAAGCATCTTGATATTTTTCCCCCATTTGGTTTTCAACTTCCTTTTGTAACTCTTTGAACACTTCAAAAGTTTCTAACTTTTGCTTCACTAAGTAAATATATCCATATCTACTAAAATCATCAGTACACGTAAAAACTTAATGTTCACCGTGTGGATTAATTATTTCCGACAGACACTTGCCTTGTTTACAGTTTCCTGTGAAAGGAACTTTCATCATCTTGCCAAGTAAGCAAGACTCTCATACATCATTCAAATCTAAAATAAATGATTCCAAGATCCTATCCTTTTGGAGCTTGGTGACATGTTTCTTGTTTGTATGCCCAAGTCGAAAATTCCATAAACATGATTTTTCAACATACTAAAATTGGAAGAGCCAACAATCAACCTTAGATTATGAGTGTTTCCAACACAAACAACACTTTCATAAAATCGTTACATGGACTATCTTTAAAAATTAAAAGAATCGTTTTTGTAAGCTACAATGTCACCATTATTATTAATATCAAAACCATAATGAAAATCATCCTTGAATAATGTGTGAAATGAAATTATGTTTCTTTTCATATTAGTATAGAAGCAACAATAAACTAAACTAATGGAACTTTCATTATTCAAAATAAGCTTTTATTCCCCAATCTTCATAACAGGCGCAGTCCCTCAGCTACACATGATCAGGTTCAACTCCCCATGCTTCATTCTTCTACTTTCCTTTAGTCCCTGCAAACCAAAGAAAATATGAGTACCACATCTTGTATCAATAACCCAAGAAATCGAAGTTGACACACTATGAAGTTCAATCATAAAAATACTTGATGTTCCAGCTCCCTTGGATTTGTTCTTCTTCAAGTCTTCGAGGTATTTTGAGCCACTACGTCTCCAATGACCTTTCTCTTAAAAAAAAAAAAAAAAAAAAAAAAAAAAAAAAAAAAAAACTAATTCCTTTGGGTCAGTATTAGGCTCAATCTTATAATTGGATTTTCTCTTAAGACCTTGATTGGAAGCTCCAACCTTAACCTTACCTTTACCATGATAAAACTATTTCTTCCTGTTTGCAGCACCCTACCCAACGGCCAAGACATTAGTAGTAGGGTTGGAGATTTTTTTCTTGATCATACTTTCTTCGTCTATTTTTAACATCCTATGAAGCTCCATGAGGGTCTTGTCGAGATTTTTCATATTATAGTTCATGAAGAACTGATGATACGAACTAGAAAGCGAGTTCAAGACCATGTCAATCTCCAACGCCTTTGAAATTTCAACACCCAATGTGAATGTACAACTTTATATTTTGAACATGCGCACACACATAAATCTCATCTTGATATTCGCATGCCATCTAGGATTTAACAAAGTCGAATATTTCTTTTCGAGCTTTCTCTTGTAATATTTCCTTGATATTCTCTTTTATTTCAAATGCCCCCTATTTCTCAAAGAACTTTTGAAGCTCAGGTGAAATGGTTGTCAACATAATGCAAGAAAATTTTGTAGATTCTTTTCCATGTTTGTGGTAAGCAACTATATCTTATTGTGAAGTGTTATCATCCACATAAGGGAGATCCTCATCGAGCACATACTCTTTTCCCCATACCATTAGGCAATCCTTTGGTTACAAATCCAGTCCAAATAGTTTGACTAGTGAGTTTCTTCGTATGGAATATCAAAATAAGTGAGAAGTTCGAATTAGTTATGGGAGGAGGAGGAGGAGAAGGATGGATGTTCTTGTTCGACATCTACAAGAAGAAAAGAAATTTAGTTAATTTGAATTTGTTCTTAAAATAATTTACAACCCTAAATGAACTATTAACAAGTCTAGGATCCATATATCATTTTGCAATGTGCGTAAGGATGTTGTAAATATGCAACAATGTTATTTGGGTAAGCAATGGAACTTGCCAGTTTCAAACTTTTAAAACTCCTGGATCATCTGAGATTCATTAACATTTAGTGGAATGCTAAACTTGATTGTGCTTATCTCAAATTTAATGATAGAGATATCGGGGGCCATTAAATATTTGGTTAATCAACCATGCAAAACTGCTTGATCCTCAGTTTAAAATTATTCTTATATTGATGTTCCAGTTAGCTACACATGTTCCATCAACATAACTGTTGGGTATAAATTATGGTTCATACTTTCCTTTTCTAGGCAATTTTAATTTTCCGTCTAGGACCGAAAAGTGTTTACGACCCAGTGGGTGTTTACAGCCGTGAACTGGTTCACGGTCGCGAACCCATTTACGGTCCATGTTTCCCATGTGTGTGTGTGTGTGTCTATATATATATATATATATATATATATATATATATATATAGATAGATTTTAGGTGGGTAAGGAGCATAAGTGTGTGAAAGTGTGTGAATCTTGTGTAAGGAACTTCATTCTAATCAAATCATACAAGATTCATATTCTTCTTCTTCTTCTCTTCTATTTTGATCTGGCATCATCCATTTGATTGGGATTCCGCACCATCAAACGGATCTGATTGATACGCAAGCATATTTGGTACTTACAATAATAATTTTACGAGCGACTCATCATTTTAAATCTATATTCTTGCAAATGATGTTTCGGTTAACCACATATACTTTGTCACCAGAATATAAATAAAATGTGTTTTTTCTTGGGTAGCACAAGACCCACCTTTTTAGATTTATGTAAATCGATATTTTTTCTTTTAGTACTTGATTAATACTTTCAACCTTGAAAGGC